TGGTGCCTCCTATGCACTGCACATCAGACATCTTCATCTGAGGTGTTGTGCATGATGGTGAGAAACCCATCACATCCTCCACAGCTGGTGAGAAATGCTCTCCCTATGTGGTTACACTGTAATTCAAGCCAGTCAAGTCTGAACCCCAGGATATTGCAGGAGGAGCTGCTGCCTGTGCAACTAGATGCCTCAGAGTGAAGACTTCAAGAGCAGACTCCATTTAGCCATTAAGAAGGAGAAGGGTGGATTTGTGACTGATGCATGTGTACTGCAGCAACCTGAGCAATCTGCAAGTGTCTACTGTGGGACAGACATTCCTGGAGGAAAGATGCTGTAAGATCCCATGCTTGGAACTTTTAGCTAAACAAATTCAACCACAAAATGAGCCACACATTTCTAATAAGTTCAGTGTGTGTGTATGCAGGATTTCCCTGAGTATCTGCTTCAGTTCAAACAGAAAATAATTCAAGGAAGTGCAGGAGGTCAGACTAGTCCCTTCATGCTTTGACATCTGTGGTTTCTTATGGGACAATACCATGGCAAGTGGGAAAGGAGGTGCTTACCAAATGGTCTTTCTGTATAGATGTGGTCCCCTCTGCAAAGGAAAGATGATAAGCAGAGTAGCCCTTGGCTGGATTTGAACTTACTGTTCTAGATATATAGCCATTCTACTCTTTCTGCCTATAGCCTATACAGTGTGCACCCAAGAGTTTAGCTTTCCAGCAGCATGCTATAGCCCAGGGGTAGGCAACATTTTTTGGCCAGAGTGCCAAAAAAAACATGGTGTCTACCTTAGAAGGTGCTGGAGTGTCGACATGCCAGAGCCTGGAGCAGCTGTTTGCAGCCTTCCAGCTGCAGCTGGCCCATGGAGCCCGGTCTGCTTGCAGCAGGGCTTGCAGTTTGGCAGTCTCCTGCTGGGAGCAGCCTGGGCTCCGTGGCTGGCAGCAGCTGCTTAGGGCTTGGGCTGGCGGTGGCGTGCCAAGCAAAATGGTCTTGTGTGCCATGCTCGGCATGCGTGCCAGGGGCTTCTGACTCCGGCGATAGCCAGTCCTGGATAGTGCCTGCTGTCATTGGACTGGGCTCTTAGGGGTTGGGTGCATGATGTGTTTACACCAACATAATCAGCCTTTACCTAGGCCTAAGTAAGGAGTGGACACTCGATGTGCAGCCCTACCCCTGTGTAACTTTCTTGAATCCAGGCAAGAAATGGGGAAAAGCAGGGTTCCACCTACACTAAGTGACACAGGTGTAAATGTTGGGTTTCAGCCACTGTACCAAAGTAGCTGCTTGCTACCAGCAGACATGGGATGCCAATGCCTCCACGCCATGTTCATCTGCTCCTGCACTGTTATTCAATTCCAGAATACTGTGCCCCTGTATGTGCTCGTTCATCACTCAGCAAACTAGTGGACACCCAACTTCATGCTCCAATGTGTCTGGTGTCAGGGGCATTGTGCCCCACTCCACTCCCATGGTTACCAGCCCTCAGTAACATTGCTCCCCCTCATCTCCACTGCACAAGCAAACTTATTAGCCAGACTTCTTGATAATCCTACACAGTCAATGTATTGGACCAATAGCTTGGCTCTCCTCAAGATGTCCAGTATGGTCCACCCTTTCAAAATCCTTTGATTTTCCTTATTTACTAGATGGCATGAAGAATGGTCAGCACATGCACAAATTAATCACCACATCATCTCTGACCCTATAGTCAATCAACCAGGATTTCACTGCCCATGCTATTATTGGGCACTTAACTGTTTTTGAACTGGACAGGGTCACTGTGCCGCAAACCTATACCAATGGGGCCTTCACATTGACAACAAATGCCCCTGTGGACAAGTTCAAACCATGTCCCACATTGTTCACTTGTGTCCGTTTACTGTGCTACCTGGTGGTCTTCAAGTTCTTTACACTGGGGATGACATCATCTTAAGACAGCTAAACAATATGCCAAAACAGCATACACTAAATAAGCATACCAGAAGACTATTATCCACTCCCAAACTCATGGCAACTTGCTATAATAGCACCAGCTGTGACCCACTGCCCTGGAAAAGCTGCTCATCTCTGCTCCAGCTCCAGTGTAATTTACATTGGTGTAAATGTGTAGCCTGCCCACGTTTTTCCTCAGCTTCTTTTGTGGCAGGAATGGGACACTTGGGACAACTTCCAGTGGCAGAAAGGGTCCCAGAGACTGCAGGTCAGTACATTCATTGCAGAAAAGCAGACACAAACACACACCTGCTTGTCAGATCCAGGCAGTGATGGGCACACTGAACACCAACTTTTGTCTCCTGGGCCAGGGGATCTATACCATGGGACTGCATCACAGCAGCACCTAAACTGAAGCATGTTATGACTGCTGCTTCAAACTCGGGCTTGATCTGACCAGCACTGGCATCTAGCTCCAACCTACCCATGCTGTTGCTGCTCCCAGAGGCTGAATGGGGCCTGTCTAGAGCCTCTAGCTGTCTAAAATGCCACCCAGTACCTCATACCTGAGTAGCTGCCTCCTAGCATCTGATCTTCTACTTCCCCTATATCAGGACTTTTCTTGATCCTGGATTACAGTCTGCTCATTTACTTCTTGACCTGGTTTTTGGCCTCAGCTTGTTCCTGGATTCTGCTTATAATCACCACCTTGAGCTTTTGCCCCAGTGCAGTAACCTTGGTTCCTGATTGGCGCCAAGGTCTGGCCGCCCACGTCCTGACACCGTTACAGCTGAGGGCTGGAGTATCAAGAGCCCTGGGAGGCTTTCTAGAGGATATTCCTAGAACATGGGGAAGGAGCCCAGCCCATGCCCTTCAGTCACTCCCTCCCCACAGCATAGCAATGGGTGGTCGCTACCCATCTTGGGTACAGCTCCTCAACTTCATGTCAGGACTGCAGGTGATGCCCTCAGAATACAAAGACTCAATGTCCTGTCAGAGCCAACATGGATGTGTGTTCACTGCTGGAGAAAGGGGCTACCCTGCCTTGACCCATGGCTTCTGCATGGCAATGCCCAGCTTGGCACAGCAGCAAACACTTTTCAGGCTGAATTTTAAAAAGCGATTCCCTTGCAAGGTGCAGGTCATAGCCTGGGTGGTGCCATTGGCTGCACAGCAAACCTGCCATCTATTGGATGCCATGCTTCCTTGCCATGGACATTTATTCCCAGAACAATATGTGCTTGATACATTTGGAGGGAGCCCAATGCTGCAGCCTGCCATCCAAGCCCATGTTGCTGCCTGTGTGTTATGGAGCCCACATCTGTTGCTTCACAGACCCAGCTCTCCCACCTACCATGCTGCAGCACAGGTTGGGTGGCTGCCTGCTCCCTGTGATCTTACTGGGGATCCATTGTGCCTGCAACTCCAGCTTTCCATGCCATCTTGGCTGGCTCTACCAGGGATGTTCAGCCCAGTGTTGCCTCTAAACTGCGCACGTGCACGGCTGTGCACAAGTAAAAATCTTGCCACGCACAAACTTTTTAAGGCCATGGACCCACCTGGAGAGAAGCTGGTTGCAGAGTGTAGCGGAGGCACCAGGGCCAGTGTGGGACACTTACCAAAGGTAAGCTCCTCACTCCTCATGCAGGGCAGGCAGCAGCTTCTCCCTGAGGTGAGGCAAGGCAGGGCTGGGGGCTGGCGCAGGCTCTGCTGGCTCCGGGGAACTGCTCCACTCCCCAGCCCTGATGCCACATGCCTCCTTGCTCCCCGAGGCGATACAAGGGAGCATAGCAGTTCCCTGGAGCCCACACCAGCCCCAGCCCCCGGCCCCATCTCACCTCAGGGAGGAGCCTCTGCCTGCCCTGCATGTCCCACACCGGCCCCGGTGCCTCTCTTTCAGGTCTATCGATTGATTGTGTCCAGCCCATGGCTGCCCCACAGCACTCCACTGCGCTGCTCTGGGCAGCAGTTAGCATGGAGAAGGGTGGTGGCTGAACCCTGCCTGCTCCCACCTGGACACTTACTTTGGGACACTTACCGGTGGACCGCGCTGAAAGGGGGAAGAGGGATCGAAGCAGTGCACTCACGGACCACTACTTCTTAGAGGGAACATTGCTCAGCCCCTCTAGAGTACTGTAGTTAGTGGGAGCAGTGTTACAGGCAAGAGTGTATTGTTAACTCAGAAGTGTGGGGCAGGAAGAGACAGGGGAACCAGGATCTCTCACATTCTGATCCATGGGCTGACACCAACTCCCTCTTAGAGCCCTGAGCAAATTACTTCACCCATCTGTGCCTTGTTTTTCCTGCCCATAAATTGGGACCGAGGGATCTGCATGTGGATAAGCAAAGGCAGAATTGGGCCCAGGTGAAAGAGATGCAGCCTAGGGGCTTCAAACAGGCAGAAACAGGGAAACCCCTTCCAAACTGTCTGAGGGTTGGACTAAGATTCACTGATGTGGCTGAGGCCACACTACAGGGACAGCACGGGCTGCAGCACTGCAAGTCTCTTCAGCAACGTGGCTCTCTGCTGATTCGATGGGCTCAGTGTGGGACTAAGGAGTTCAGTCCCTGTGGTTGTCTCCATCTCTCTGGGTTTGGGTGACATGGACACCTGTGTTATGAACTAGCACAATACAAAGCTGACAGCTTGGAACAGCTGTTCTCCTGACACCCTTGAAGCTGGATTAGCATCATTGGCCTTGTGGCAAAAGGCTTGATCTGGGTATCACCCACTCCATGGAGTTACTCCAACATTACGCTGGCACAAGCGAGGTCAGATTGAGCCCCAAAGGTTCCCTTTGAACATAGAGAAGTAACCCCTCTCTGAAAAGCCACTCGTGGTAAAAATTAATGTCTTCAGATATTCTCCCTTGTCTCAGTTCCTGTGAAATGTGTGATCAGTGACCCTACCTGTTCCCTGGGCCTCTGTCCTCAGAACAAAATGATCCCACCCAACACATCTTATAAAAGTGACAACTTTATGGAGTTCCTTAAATTAACCTCATCTGGATGGGCAGCAGGGTTGAGAGCAGCTGCAGGGCCTCTGCTGTCCAACCTTAGCGCTGGCAGGGAGAGGGGCAGGGGGCTTCCAGGGCAAAGGGCTGCTGGTTTAGGAGAGTCCATGCTTTTGAGGCACAGAACTGGGACCAACCGCTCTAGCCCCACACACGCTGCTGTACTTGGGCTCTTGTTAATAATCTCTGGAGGCCTTGGGGATTTTAGGATCGAGAGAGTCACTCACCAATGCCGAGCCTCAGCTGTAGGTATGTGTCTCTATATGCCACAACTGCTGCCTGGGTGCAGGGTCCTGTTGGTTACAGCTCTACAACCCCTGTGGGGACTCACAAGGGCCTGCTGGTCTGGCAGCAGGAGAAGGAAGGAATATTCCTGGGGACATGGCTGAGCCCTGAGGATCAGCCAGCAAGCTAGGCAGCCAGAATCAGTGGCTTTGAAGTCCCAGGAGCCAGTTTGCTGGGCCAGGGCAGGGACAAGCTGCTGAGCATCAGGCAAGTATTGGGCCTTACTGGGTGGACAGCATGGAGACATGCCAGTCCTTGGAACAGCCAGAAGGCAGTGCCAGAGCATCAGTCTTTCCACAGCCTAGAGGAGCTCCCTGACCCCCAACACAGCAAGTGTAGCCCTGCTTGCTATTATCATTGTTCACCAGCCAGGCAACCCACAGGCCTCCCTAACACGCACCTTCAGTACTCACCAAGAGCTCTCAAGACCTGGGGCTTCTGCTAAGACAGGGGCACTTGGATCTTCCCTGACTGCCCCCAGGTCTGTGTGTTAATGCAGAGCTTAGGCACTGGAAGAGGGCCCCCCCTAGTTTATTATGAAATGACACATGCTCCAGGGCAGCCCTATGGCCCCATCCTGCCCATGCCCTTGCCCTTTCACCCAACAGCTCATGGTGGAGATGGTGACTGCAATTCCCTGCCTACAAGCACTGGGCTCTACACAGTCATAAATCCCTCTTGCTCAACTTGCTGAGGTCATGCAGAGCAGCCTTGGACTTCCTGCCAGTTAAAGCTGCCCAGGAATAATGGGTAGAAAGGAAAGGGGTGGGGCTGGTGGAGCTGCTGCTGCCCTGTGTGGCTCACATGCCAGTCATGCCCCTGTCTCCTGACAGAGGCCATGGGGTGGCTCGCTGAATGGGGACATCCAGGGTAGTCTCCTGGGAAGGCTGCTGTTTGCCGCCTACAGATCCAGCCCTCATCCGGGCAACAGTTGCTGCAACACACAGAAGTGAGAAAAGCATTAAATCATCTGACTCAGTCCAGATTCCAGCTGCCTGTAGTCAGGGGGAAGTCACAACCACAAGCCAGAAGACAGGAGTGGGCCTTTGCATTCACATTAGCTTTATAGGGTAGCTTGAAAAGGAAGCCTGTCTTCACACTATCTTCACAGCAGTCCATGGCTAGACTGGGGTGGGGGAGGGTGCTGTGGCTTCTCAGTTTACTATGACTGCAGGTGAAACAATGAGTCAAAGTCCACAGTGATGAAAGTGCTACATCAAGCTAGCCATGGATGCCCTGGCTCCCTGCTCTCAGTGGGGTAACTCTGACATAAGCAGAGTCTGTATGTCAGTGGCAAAACAGCACAGATTTCACTGATGGGCACAGGGGAGAGGTTTGATGGAGCTGAGCTAGGAAAGGCACTTAGAGCAGGCTGGAACAAGATCATCAGCATTGTTTTACAGTGTTATGGGTATTTTAACATTATTTTTAAAAAATTAAGAGCAGATGCTACTTTTGGTACTGACCAAGCACCACCGGCTCCAAGTGCCTCATTTTGTATTATGATCATGAAGTCTGATGTTGGGCCCTTTGAACAAGACAAGAAGGGAAGCACTAGTACTAATTAGAGAAGTAGCTGTTATTCATAGATTACAAAATGATTCCAGGCTAAGGCAAGGGTATTACAAACAGTTGTTCCTCCAATTAGCACAAGGAGTGCCAACTGCTTTTGTGTAAGTTGTCAGTGTCAAAATATCTCATTACAACACAAATGGAAGACATTGGGCGCATCTACACAAGACACAAGATACACAGTAGACTAATTCTACTGCGCATTAATGCACCGCTGTTACTGTTCAGTAGCATTGGTTACTGTGCATTGAGTTAGTATCCGTTATTACAGGTACTAAACTTAATGTGCTGTAACTACGACATATTAATGAACATGTAGATGCACCCATTTCGATCTAGAAATAATAAGTTGGTTCTACCAGCACTGGGAAGCAGCTGTACTTAATGATTTTTAAAATAAAACTGATTAATTCTATGATGTGCTACTACTAATAATATTTCCTAAAATAATGTAAACATAACAAAATATTAACATTAAAAGATAAACTGCAAACCTAAAATCCCCATAGTTTTGAAAAATTTCTGAGACAGAAGCATTCTAAACAAACATTTCTCAGCATGTTCATTTCTCAGGAAATGGTGAAATATCAGTGTTTCCCATGAACCAGATACAGCATTTCTGCCACTTCTTTTTGCTCTGAACATGCCCAGAGTGCTCACTGGGTAGCAGTCACATGACTGTGTCCCTTGCACATCACTGTGACTAACACTCATCCTCAGCCCCTAGCCCCATTAGGGTAAAGCCAGTGACAGCCAGATCCTGAGCCAGGACCAATGTTAGGCTGCCACTGGACAAGGGCAACCTAGGGGGCTCTGGCAGGGGTTGTGGCTGGCATAACAGTGCTCTCTCATTCTGAGCATCTGTGATTCTCTGAAGCTCAGAGCAAGCCTCCTTAGTTTCCAAACCCTTCTTGATTTGTCCCAGCCTTCTTCTAGATGTTGCCCTCTTCTAGATTTGCCTCAGCCTTCTTCTAGAACTTCCCTACTTCCTCAAGCTCCATCCTCCTTGCTGCACCACCCCTGGGCTGCCCTGCTTTTACAGCTTTCCATAATAACTCCCAGTCACAGCTCTTCATGCCTTTCCATGCACTTGCCCCTGCCCTGCTCCCTCTGCTTGTGCTTACTGATTCCTTGTTGTCCAGGTGATGGTGTGCAAGAATGATGTCTCACCATAGCAGATTCACTGCTCCCCATTTTACCAGCCTGTCTTTGTAGCCTGCTCTCCACCTGCTATCATGGCACATGCCAAGGACAGCTATTTACTCCACTACACAGTTATGGAGCAGAGAATTCCCCTAACATTGAATGACAGCCTGAGCACAAGGGTGGTAGGGACTCACATGCATAGGATGACACATAATGGCGGCCACAACTGGTGGCAGAGCGTGTCCTTTCCATCCCATGTCTTGAGGGTGGCCGAAGGGTCTTTGTTCCTTCCATGTGAAGAATTGAAAGAGATGGGGTAATGGGGTGAGACACCCACAGGAGATCTGAGTGGTGCAAGGAGTCAGGCCCACAGGCCCTTAAGACAGGCCCAAATTCATGAAGCCAGGCTACAGGGAAATGCTTTTACCCTAGGGCAGCCATCTTTCACTCTGGCACACCCAAACTGGCCAGTGAGGAAACCACATTGAAACCCTGCTAAGGCACATAAAATGTGGTAATGATAATGACCTTTGTGAAGTTCTGTGCACTTTACCAATGGCTGGTGCCATGTAAGTGTTAGGGAGTACTAGTAGTGTTGTTAATATTATCATCTGTAGTGCAGTCCATGGTGTCTACCAATCCCAAGATGCAATGTGCCATTTTGAGCCAAATAGCTAAGCAGCTTGTCTAAATCTAGCATGTCATATGCTGAGATATGCAGCCCCCACAAGCTGCATCTCCAAACTGGGTGAGCAGGCCAGAGCTGTGCTGGGCTGTGGGCTGCACACCCTACCACTGTTGTGCCCAGATGAGCTGTTTTCCATACCGTACCTGGAAATTCCTTGTCTAGAGAGGTGCCCCATTTTGCAGGTTGTGAGCTCATCCTGCCCTTGTAGAGAACTCCATTGATGCCCAGAATATCAACTTCAGTCTATGGAGGAGAACACAGAATACTATAGGAAGTGCATGGAGACCAAGGTCCAGGACACCAAGAGCCTTGAGACCCTCCTGGACATTAATTTCTTCTACTCTCTCCCAATTCCTCCCTTTGCCATGTGCCTTCATAATTTCTTCTACTCTCTCCCAATTCCTCCCTCTGCCATGTGCCTTCCCCCTCCTGCCAGCAACCACTGTCCTTCCTATTGCCCTGCAAGGTCAACCCCCTTAGGAAGGTTCTCTTGGTGTTCCCATGTCCCTATGAGGCTCCCTGGTTTGACATGCTAGTGACATACACTTAGCAGGGTCTAAGGCAAAGGCAGGCAATTATTTTGGGTGGAGGGCCGCTTACCAAGTTTTGGCAAGTCATCAAGTGCTGCATGAGTAGCCCCATCCCTTGATAGATACCCTGCCACCTGGTTGCCATCTTGGGACCATGAGTTCCACTCCCTAACCCCTGACCTTTGCCACCAGAAGTCCCTCCCTTTGCCTTCCAAAAGTACTTCTTTCAGCAATGGGGTTTGCCATCTTGGAGCCAGAAAAATACCAAATTATATTTTAAAAATCAAACATACTACAACATTCATTAATTTCATTTCAAAAAATATTTTTGTCCTAATTTACGTGTGTTTGTGTAGTGTACATAGAGGTGATGGTATAATAGCTTAAAGTGAAGTCTTACTGTTGTATATTATGGGAGGGTGTGGGTGGGAGGGTGGGTATAGGTTTGTGGGTATATGGGGTGTGGGGGAGGGTGTGTGTGTGGGATTTGTGGTGGGGTGGATAGGTGTGGGGGGGGTGAGGTTTAGGTGGGTATAGGTTTTGTGGGGAGCTGGGAGTGTGCACTGGGAAGGTGATTGGAGAGGATAGTGGAGGGGGAGTGTTTTCCCACAGCCCACCCCTGCACCCGCAGCAGACAGAGCCCCCTCCAGTGCTCCTGCAAGCCCGGGCTCCACGCTCCTGCTGTTCCTGGTCCCCGGGCACCAGTGCAGGCTCCGTGCTCCCGCTCACTGCCACATCCCTCCATTTGCCCCCACTGTCCTTCTCCTACCACTTCCGCACCCCTCACTCCTCGTTGCTTCAGCACCACATCCCAGCTGCTCCTGCAATTCTGGCAATGCAGCCAGGAAACAGGTGTGGGGGAGTGGGAAAATGGCTGCAGCAGGCAGGGGGAAGGGACAGCGAGCGGGCATGCGGCACTCAGCAACAGCTGAGCGGGAACATGGGGCCCACGCCGGTGCACCGGGGCCAGCGCACTGGGGCCAGCGCACCGGGGCCAGCGCTGGCAGGGCCCAGAGCAGGGTGGCAGGAGCGTGGGGTCTGGGCCGGCAGGGGTCTATGCACCCAGGCTGGCTCCTCCTCTCCCTCCTTGAGCAGTGCAGCCCAGCTCCATACAGCCCCTGCCGGCCCAGACCCCATGCTCCTGGGCAGAAACTGCTGCTCAACATGGAGGAAAGTGACCCCCCTCACCACCACCAGGCAGTTTTAGCTGTGTCTGCCTGGAGTCCGCACCATGCTAGGCTGCAGTGCATCTCCTTCGCCACTGCCTCTGTGCTGCCCAGCACAGCAGCAGTGGCTGTGTGGAGCAGCCGCAGGGCAGCTCACAAGCAGCAGCAAAGGAGCCACACCATAGCCTTGCGCAGCACAGGCTCCCGGTGTCCACAGCAAAAGCTGCCCAGCGACAGCGAGAGGGAGGGGCTGCTTCCCCCCACACCGACCAGTGGTTTCTGCCCAGCCGTTGCTGTCGCTACCACTGCCATTCAGCCCCAACTGGGTGCAGGGCCCAGGCTGAGGAGTGGCAGTGTGGGACAAACTGCTGCTCAACGCAGGAGAAAAGCGGCTTCTCCCTCTTCCCCTCCTGCTGTTGGCACTCCCTGGTTCAGCTGCTCAGAGCCCATGCGGGGCTACCTGTGCTTGCTCTGTACTGCCACCACTGCCCCATGGGGCAGCCCAGAGGTGGCGGTGATGCAGCAGAGACACAGGCAGCCCCGCATGGGCTCTGAGCAGCTGCACCAGGAAGCACTGGCCACAGGGAGGGGGTGGCACTTTTCCCCATGCTGAGTAGCAGTTTGTTTTGTGCCACTGCTGCTCAACCCAGATGGGCGAACGCGGAGCACGCAGGTTTGGGACTGTACGCACTGTTCCCTGCCTGTACCGTGGGGCTGGGACAGGGGGGACTGGGAGTGAGCTGGCACAGTGACAGCTGGGCAATGACAGCCAGACACCAGCAGGGCCCAGAGTGAGGCAGCAGGAACATGGGGTCCCAGCTGGCTAAGGCTCTACGGAGCTAGGCCAGCTCCCCCCTCTCCCTGCTGGCACAGCCCAGCCCGGCTCCATAGAGCCATGCTAGCCACATCCCATGCTCCTGCTGCCCTGCTCTGGGCCCCACTGGCGCTGGCCCCAGGACACCGGTGCAAGCCCCACATTCCTGCATGCCCACTTGCTTCCACTCCCCCTGCCCCCACCACCGCTTTCCTCACTTTCCTGCCCACCAGCCGCTCTGCACTATGTGACTCCAGGCTGCATGGCCGGACTGCAA